CGACGCCAGCTGGTTTAGAGAGACTAGCTGCCTTTATTGAGGCTCAGTTGACTGGCATGCCAGATCGCCTTACCCGCATTGAGGAGCAGCTCGGCCTGGTGTTGGCAACACAGCAGGAGATCCTCTCGGGGCAGCGCATCCTCATATGAGAGGTGAGGCTCCCTGTCCAGACGGTAATGCAACTTTGCCAATGTCTCACGAGAATCAGGTCCTGGTCAACAATGCTTAATGGTAAATTCTGTTCTATCTTTGCGCTAGATACTTTCCTTCTGGACAAGCACTTCTAAAAACATGTCTTCTATCGTGGCTAAGCACTTGCAAGCCTGTGATCGGATCCAAATATGTGGCACAATGATCGATGAAATTATAGTACTTGATACCAAGTGCTCAATCGACCACAGTTATGCAAAGAGCTGATGAACGCTACTGAGAGTCTCATAAGATCATCCAAAGTCTATTCTCATCATGAGTTCGTGTTGTCTCCCCAGGTTGGAGGAGCGCTTCTCGGTGCCGCCGCAAGTTGCGCGCAAGCCTCAGCCCGCTCCGGCGCAAAAGGTCGTTCACAAGGAGACAACAGCTCCCGGCGGCGCTCTTGCACGCCTCATGCATGCGGGCCTCAACGGCCAGACTGCGGGCAAGCGCGCTTTTGATGCACCGCCCGCGGCTCCTCATGCGCCCCGACCGGCAAAAGTACCGCGCCCCACGAATTTGCTGGCACCCGGGCCAGTGGCTGTGAGCGCTCCAATCGACCCAGGTAACGCAACCATCCTATTCTTGCTCGACTTACGCAACTTTGCCACTTGAACCTACGGCAACACAACAATGGGTTAACGCTAAAGTGTCGCGGGTTAGCGGGCAGTCAGTTGCCGATCTGCAATCAAGTTAAGCACCAGCGGGTCTGCCGCTGGTTTGCCGCTGCGTTAGGGGCCACTCAATGAGGAGTCTGCCGCCGTTTGGCGGTGCATAAAGTGTGGGACTGCAGCTAGGTTAGCTGCCGTTCTGCAGCGGGTTACGCGCCAAACTACAGCGGGTTAGCAGCTGGTTTAGATGCCGTTCTGCACCGGGTTAGTAAGCGCGTACCGCAGCGGGTCAGCCGTTGGTTTAAGTGCCGTTCTGCAGCGGGTTAAGCGCGTACTGCAGCGGGTTAGCCGCTGGTCTGCATGTCGTTCTGCAGCGGGTTAAGCGCCAAACCGCATACAGTTAGCCGCTATTCTGCGCCAGGGTAGCTGTCGTTCTACCGGGGTTAGCAGCCATTCTGAAAACGGGTTAGCTCTTGTTCGCTTGATAGCAGGGACATGCTTAAATTGACGGGGGTTAGGTCTGCGGGTTAGGTGTGGGTCTCTTGCCGGTTAATAGACCCGCCTATTTGAAGGAGGCCCCATTGCTACTGCTCATCCAGGCTTTGCTGCAAACCGAAACCTGCCCAACACAATCATGTTCTGGCCTCTCAGTCAAATCTTTGCCATCTTACAGGCCGCCAGCCCGTCACCGACGAGAAGCTTCTGGTGTGCGTGTCCGGAGCAGACAAAGACGACTTCATCCCCACTCAGTCGGCTCTTCTAGTGGCGTTGGTTGATTCGGGCATCGACAAGACCTTGTGCCAGCTTGGCGGCAGCCATATCCGTGAGTGCATTGCCGTCAATGGTCCTGGAACAAAGTGCAGGACCTGGCGTCTGGTGATGGTCAACCCGGTACAAAAGACGCACTTTATGCGCAACGCCTTCCTGTACGAAATTCCACTGAGGGCGGCAGGGCTTGAGGTCACGGACTGGACATGGGGGGGCAAGAAAAAGTAAACATCCAGCGCCCTAGGTAGGGACCGCCGGGAATTCGGTATTAACGCGTGTTGCTTCTTAGACGAGTTGAGGTACTTCTGGACCTAGCCAGTTAACCTAGATTGAACGTGTCAAGGGCTAGGACGGCAGGCGTCTAGCTTGACCCTATGAGGTCAGCAATAGCCGAGTGGCGCACGGCAAACTAGTTCAGGTTATGCTTTCATAGCTTGACACGTCCTATTTTCGCTATATACAACACTCCGCTCCTCCGTTCAAACTTCACGCCATTGTGGCAGACCCAAGTCTAAATTCCATACGTGTCATTTCGGCCTTTGTTTTTAGATCGGATAGCCTTATACAATTTATGCGATTGTATTCGGCCGCATGGTCAAAGAGGCTCTAAGCAACTTTCAATCATGTTGCTAAACGGACTCCCCGTACTGCATAAATCACTGCAGCTTCAAGACCCGCATGGTTTCTTGGTGGAACATCACATGCACAGGAGTTCATCCTGAGGTACCTTTTCCCTTTCCCTAAAAACCGATCGCAATAAAACAGGGCGTATTGGGAAAGGGTTTTTAATGGCCCTCTGCATAGCACCACTGAGCATGTCGAAGCTACATTGTGCATGATCATTGCGGTAGTCGGAGATGTTTCCGAAAACCCTTTCGCCCGATTGGTAGCCGCGTACCATGAATACATGAGTTTGTCCCTCATCTGCAACCTTCCTTGAAAGTTGTTGGCCCATGGCCCTCAGAGGGAAGAACGTATCATGGCTCAAGTGCTCCAATCCGGCTTGGCTGAGCAATCGGTATGATGAGTGTTCAAAATTGGGCCGAAGACGAGCTCTACAACCACCTCCCCTGTCTGTGCTACAACGACTGCCACTGCATGCCAACAAGAGATGTTCCCTGGGTACAACAAGCCGAAGACGTCCGTCGACTAAGAGACGCCGTTACCAGACCACGGTTCTCGCTAACTGCAAGACGTCGATAACTCATAACGGTCGCATAACCTGCTGGCAGAATTCGATAGCAGTGCATATGTAGCAATACAGCAGTAGGAGTGTAGAGTAGTATGTAGGTAGCTCGTCGAATCTAACGCCCAAACTCATCGAACCGTTTGTTCAGTGTTTCAGGTCCATGGCTTAACCGCTACGGCCTTATAAAAGAAGTATGTATGTATGTATGTATCGGCAGGTCCTTCTTTAACGGGTTCTTTAATCAAAGTTCTGAGTAGCTAGTGATTCTGTGGTTGGTCAAATGCTCGGATCTGACTTAGTGCCACCACCACCACTAGCGCGATAGCGCTGAGTTCTACTCGAGCAGCCTGGGATCAAGGCCGCGCCACTCGTTCAATCATTTGGACAAGCAGAATAGAAGGAGTCCAGTTGGGCAAAGAATGCCGAGCCACTCATAAATCGGTGTTGTTGCCATCGACGATGTTCGCTGCTATAGTTGCCAGGCGAAGGGGCAGCTAATGGGTAGTTTGAAGATGGAAAGCTTAATTGATAACTCTAGCCAAACCCGAATTCGAGCAGTCTCGATCACAACCTGTTGGAACAATCTCCGAGAAGATTGATAGAGGGAGATACTTTCCATGGCAGCCGGAAATCTTAGGAGTTTATCTATATTGATTCGAGCCAAATGCTGAATGTCACTGACAATTCTTTCGATTATATGTTGAAACCTGGATAGATCTGACATCCATAACTTTTTTCTTAGAACACAGTCATATTAGGTTTGTTGTCTATTGCTTAGTAACGCTCAGTCCATGATATCGAATTACCCGGAAAACATTGTGCACATGAATGAGGGCCTGAACCTCATGGCGCATATTTTTTTCACATGTAAAACGATGCACCAATCCCTGCCATGTAGCTACACTAGGGCCCGGTATACAATTGAGCCCTGATCTTGAATCAATGCAACTTTATACATAGGACGTGTGCGTACTCGATAAAACCTCGACTCCAAGTACACGTGGTCCTTCGCACAAGGCGAAGCTGCTGGCGTGTGTCATAATGTACTGTACAGTACCCAAAAAGCAATCATCTCTGAAATTGCGAGCTGCATTGTTGCGGCAAATCACACTGCAATGCCTCTGCCGGCCATTATGCAGTACACTTTAAGAAGTGCGGTTAAATATTTGAAGGCTTGTACACCACATTGCACTTCCTTAAAAAAGGTTTGACAAACATACAACGCACATTCAATCTCAAGACAAAACAATACAACACAGCGGCCTATCAATACATAATTACAATCTCGCAAGAATCACCGTGATATCGTCTTGAGTCCCCTTTTGTTGAGCAAGGGCCACGAGGTCCTTTGCGACTCGTTGCAGTGATGCCTCAGGCCTGCAATCCAGATAATCAAGCCGCTTTAGCCTCGGGACGGGACTGATCATGAGTTCCGGCATAAGGGCAATTGCAAGCGCAAGTGGCTATTGGAACTCTTTTGTACCATGAAAATGTTCACCCTCAACGATTTGCTCACTTACTCATTCGGTACCAATGGGTTTGATCGGCCCGTTCGTACATACACAATCTAAAAGAAACGCCAGAGAATCTGCAGGACCTGAGACAGCCCACGATAAAGTGGTCGGGCGCTAATACCAGTGCCTCCACGGGATCGTATTTCGAAAACGTGCCAGATCGAAGCTCTCGAAGCATGTCCCTGCAGCCGGACATCATGTGAGCAACCCCACAGCGGCGAAACCTTTTTCGGAAAAGCAACAAAGGACTTGAACAATCTGTCCGGTCCCTCACCCAGCCGCCTTGACGAAGTCCACGACCTCCTCATTGGACAGAACCTCAAAAATGCCGTCCGTTGCCAGCACGACCATGTCGTCATCTGACGTCACCGTCTCCACCACAACGTCTGGCTCGGCAATCAAACCGAAACCGCCCGCCCCCCCGTCCTTGTTCTTGTAACTGTACAAACAGAGACCGAGCATATAGGCAACGGACGTTGTCGCGAATTGTGCTCAGCAAACGGCATTGAAAGAGTGTCAGAAGGACTCAGTGAATGAGGATAAGCAATCATAATGACCACAGTAAAAATCCAGCGGCTTCGTGAGGGGTTCCCGTATTAATTACCAGATCAAGACTAAACGTTCTACAAGGCGCGAGACTTGACGAAGGACGTTTGTGCCACCATCAATCGACCTTCTCCAGAAACAGGCTTCTTACAATTCTCACACCTCCTGTTCGTAGAAGGATCCTGTTGAAAGCATCACAAGGATTGTTGTGGGGAAATTCCGTTCCCGCAATACGACCCACTTGGCAATTCGGAGTTCGAAAGCGACTCCTGGAGGCGTTCATTGAGTAGATCAGTCGCCTATCATGCATCTTATCCTTGGCACACAACAAACGCAGATCATTACACGGGCCCATAGTAGAAATTGCAAAGAAGGAAGCAGGTCAGTCTCACTCTTTCAAGTACACATCTCCGAACGCCCTCGAGAGCGCGAGCAGTCCTCCGACTCGCCACGTGCCCCCGACGTTGACGACCAGCGGCTTCTTCAAGTTCGGGTTCTTCAACTCAATGCGTATCCGCTCCTCCTCTCGGTCAGGCTGCGGGGCGGAAGATCTCAATCATTCAGCTCAGTCAGACGGTTGACGAGCCAAGTGGGGGCTATCTTCCTTTGAGGTCAATCCATTGTAGGGAAAGGCAGTGGAATACTGAGATAGAAAGACAGTGGAATACTGAGATATTGTATTATATGGTTGCCGCAGCCAGAGATATGGATGGTGCTGAGAGCAGCTCACGAGAACTGACGCTGAATCAGCGAAATACAAACCTCGGGGTTCGCCCATCGATTGTAACAGCAGCACAAGGTCAAATCCCAGTGGGGTTCGCCCATCGATTGTAACAGCAGCACAAGTCAAATCCCAGTGCATTTCCGCACAGCTGTGCAAGGTCTGACCAGAATTCGAGCAACTTGCAAAATTTCCTACCAGCAGAAGCCGCCGAAGTCCTTACGGAAGCAGCGGAGGATCTCTGCCGCTTTCAGCCTATCCACTAAGACGCCAGAATTTCCGACGCTTCCACACTCCTCTATCACAAGTGTTGCGCGTTTCCATTTTAGGTACCTTTAAAAACGAGAATCAAAGGCCTACAACAAGCAACTTCGAACACGCCGTTAGCGGGAATGCGAACTCACCGTGTGATCCACCGTTAGCTGCAGCGGCTCCCCATTGCGCACCAGCAGCACCCGCGAGTCGCCCACGTTGGCAGCCACGAGCACTTTCTCGCACCCTATGCAAGCAAATGGTGCGATTGTAAGGGTCGGTTCAAAGTTTTACGTTCCAAGGGAAACGTCTCAAATTGTACGCGGGCTTCCGGAGTACTATCCTCTCTGGTGAGAGTATTCTAGTAACTGAGATTCAAAAATGGTCTTCGAGCGAAGCGGACAGGCTCCCGGAGAAGAGAGGAAATTTTGATTCACAAGACCGGTTGGCAAGTAAGCTGGCTGTTCTGGCCTCCTTATAGTCGCTACAAGCCCGGGCAACAGTAAGCGCTTCGTTTCGACGGTGCTCTTGCGAAAGTAACAGCACCGCATATTGTTTTCAAAAGCCAAGGTCAGCAAGATCCTCGAAGACTGCTAAGCAGGCCCACTTGAACATGGCGCTCAACACAACTCAATCAGCGCTTCATTACGAGGACATTAAGTACGATTGTCAACATAAAACAGTGTCGATTAGCATTGAAGAAAACCCAAAAATGGACCGTCCAAACCGTTCAAGACTTCAGCATGGAAGACTCTATATCATTATGGAAGACTCTATAGCAAGCGGCATTTGGGAAGGCTTGGAGGACTTCGTCGGAAGAAGGAGAAAGGACTCCGAAGCACGAGATTCACGCCGAAGGCCTTTATATATTCACAAGCACTTCGAAGACCGACACAAGCTCAGAAAGTCGAATCGAGATCATCGAAAGCCCGAACCTGCGTTTGTCCCGACTGCTACGGTCGCAGCTGTTGCTCCGCACTTGGACCCTCCCAGACCACGCTCGCGCATGCCCCCGAACAAGCCTTTCGGTGCTGCCTGCCATCAGAAGAGAGGCAGACTGAGTGAGGCCTTTTCGAGGTGGTGATCTGTACGTCGCTACTTCTAGACGGACACGATACCCGACAAGACTTACTAGACCGCTGTCTCAAAATACTGTCGGCTTAGGATGCGACTAATGACACTTGATATCTGGAGGCATCTGCCTGTGCTCGCTGCTTAGGCTCGAGATCGAACCGCAGACTTCTAGGGGGTTCGACAGTCAAAGCCAAAGCGGACAACTGCTGAGGCAAGCAGAAGGTCAGCCTCGTGCTTACACCGTGTCAAATCCAAGCAGGCAGCAACTTTTCATCGACAGGTTCCGCATGCTTCGTGGCATTCGAAGTGAGGTTTACGTCGCAGCAGCATTAGTACGCTTCCACAATCTGCTTCGAGCCAAGTCTTCGAAGGAGTCCCAGAGTGCACATCGTTGCACCCTTGGAATCAATCTTGTTCAAGGAGAATAATCCCAAAGTTTTCAACCGAAGGACCCCAGGTTTCCCGCAAATATTTGCAGGTCCGTCAAAGAAACGAGGTACTTACTGTGAGCTCCTCGTCGAGTTGCAGGTACGTCTTCTTCGTCGCTCGGATGAGGGCGAACTTCTCCCCGAACTTGCCTGGCAAAAGATACTCGCATAGCATCATGATGGGCTCAGCTACTTAAAAGTTCTCGCCGTTGATTGTACACCGAGCGCAGTCTCCAAAACGGCCTGATGGCGGGTCTCAAGAAGGGACGAGCAAACGGAGTCGAAAGCCCAGTGTGAAGGCGAAAAGGTACGGTGCCGTACTGGCCATTGAATTCGCCGCTTACCTTTCAACGCTCCTTTGTATGCGGGCCAAAAACTCTTCTCCAAGAAACTGCAGGGAGTGGCCAGGGTCGCCTAAATCAGTCTCTAGACACCCAAAGAATGAGACGAACAGGTCCTCTTGACGGCTATCTTCGCCAGAGAGCTCAATAGAAGTCTGATGATAGGGGCACTGCGGAAGGCCTACTCTACAAGCAACTAGATCTCCATCAGCAATATGCTTTCCAACTCCTCAGTAGCCACGTGGTAAGCCTCGTGGCACCAAAACACTCTACTCACTGGTGAACAAGGAAGTGTAGTAAGCCCTGTATTTGAAGCGTACTTGCCAGCATTCGAGGAAGCTTGCGACGTCCTTCTTACTTTGCAACAGCGTTGCCTCCATGCCCATCAAACACTCCCGCCGAGAAGACATCGCCCTCAGTTCCAACATAGTGTCTGCAAGCACAGGCGGCAACAGCATCAGAGGACGTTCTTAAGGAGGAAAGGCGCTTCCTCATGCATCAGGCTGAATCCTTTCGTAGTTCGAAAGTTTCCATGCCCCTGTGCTCCATTTGTTGCCACACCAGCCCGTTCTTCCATCTCCAACCAGAATCATGATGGCAGCATCTGAACCCAGACGGCAGCATCTTATACTCCACTGGCACAGAGAATGTCAAAAAGAGAAACACTTGAAAACTTGGAGGAACCTGGGAGCTCACGTGTCTTCCATTTGGACACGCCCTGAGCCCTGGACACCAGCCACCCCCACACTGCAGCGCAAGAACGCCGTTTGTCAGAAACGGAAGTTGGCTGGCAGCCCCTTCTCGCGGGGACGCTGTGGTGAGACGTGAGTCAGGCCGAGTCCGGGGCCGCCCCGAGGACCACTAGCCAGTCCAATGGCGTGCGCACCAGCTGAAGTTCTGACGGTCCAGAGATCACGGCTCTCAACTTAGTTAGAAACTGCATAGTTGGTTCAAAGAAAAATACTTTCGAGGCAAGTGGGATCAGTGATCTAGCCCAACAGCTGCCTGGCTTCTTACTTGACCTGTTCAGACTGTGATGATTGCACCACATTCACGGGCTTGCCTCTCTCATTTCAAGAGAACGTTTCCCTACCTTGCTTCTGCAGCAACTGCGGCACCTGCCGCAGCCATGGACACACGACTTGCGCAGGCTCCCGGGCTGTCCAAGGAGGCGTAACCTGAATGAGGGGAGAAGCCACACGTAAAAAGTGAGGCCAAGAGTGACCAGAAATTCACCATTACAAGAGACATCAATGGAAACCTTTGCAGCTCAACAAGAGACGATCATCGTCATAGGTGAGGCAAATGATGATACATGAAGGGCACCCTCCCCTTTATGGACTGAAGAGAGGGGTGCGCAGGGGGAGAAACACCCACACTTTTGACATGAATGGAAGCACAGCCATTGGACTACAAGATTTTAAAGAGCAACTTTGAAAAGTCCATATCACAAACTCAGATTCACAAGCTATTACTGTCATCCTTTGATCCGCAAGAGGAGATGTACTAACCTTCATCTAGCCTGCTCCTCTGGAACCCTGCTGGAATGCTTGACAGAGGCTGCGAATGGAGTCCAGCGGATGAACGCCTAGAGCCCGACCGCCTCTTTCCAGTAGACGGGGTGTAGAAGGCCTGCCGCAATTCGAGAGTACAGTAAGCATCGCTGTTCAAGTTGGGGTCAATTATTGAATCCTACCTAGTAAGCAATGCTGGATGCAGGGCCTTGTCTGTCTTATTCTAGCATCAAAATGGGGCCTAGCATTTCAACTGGCCTTGTCTCGCTGTCAATCAAGAGTGGCTGTGTCTAGATCTGCACTTGTTTGTGGCTGTAGTGTATTCACTACCGGTATATTGATGAAGGACATCAATTTCGCCTGCATGAGGTATTCTTGTTTTGGGCAGCAAACTATCAAATTGAAAACTTGTACAAGTTTTCGTAATGGTAAGTTCCTCAAAGCCTCTGCATGCACATCGTTTGAATCGGGGCATGGCTCACCTTAGCTCCCCCAGGTTGGCATTCCCTGTCCGCACCACCTCTTTGAAGCGCCGCTTGCTGGTTGATTAGGAGACGACCTGCAGTCGCTGCATTGGCCATTCTGCTGGCCAAATGTGACAAGTGAGCGCGCCGAGGAGAGTACTTATCGGTTGATGAGACAACTCAACAAAAGTCCTGCTCCCTTTGCCGATCTTTCAACATAAAGGAAGGGGGACGTCTTTGACAACAGCTGAGGCAATGTAGCTTGCTGCAAACTGCAATGCTGATGCAATGCCCAGTCTGCTGTGCCTGTGGATCTTCTAGTGGCCTTCAAGTTCAAGTGTGGGCCGTAGCCTTAGGACGTTGAGCTTCCCAGGTTCAATAAGTACATGGAACTTTTCGAGCAACAGCAAGGCTGCAGTGCTCGAAACCGAGTTCCGGTACCTATATGCAAACCCAGCTACGGGGGCGACCTCGAAAGCCCGATTCTGGGACAGACACGTACTCATATCGTAGCTCCCAAATAATCAGGTAGCCGACTTTAGCGAGACTTCAACGTCGCTTACATCTTGAAAACAAAGTCTTAACCAAGCGGGTCAAATTCGTTCCAATGGCAAGAGGAGAGATAAAAGTAAATTTTGATTGTAACAAGGTCTAATAGTAATAAGGACTCGATGAGGACGGGTGGGGTTAGTATGGTGGTTAGGGTGGGCTTGGGTGCGGAGCGAGTAAATTAGTGCTTAGGGTTTTAGTGTTGGTTAACCTGGAGATTCCTCTTCGTTATTACTATTAGATCCTTATTACTATTAAAGTTTATAGTTATAGAGGAGAGGCTGATGTTAGGTGTGTTCTCGAGCTGCTAGGTGTGTTCGCGAGCTGAAGAAGGGCGCACCGCTGCTGCGGGCTGGAAGCGACAGCCGCATGGTTTGAGAGGGGCGCCCGTCTCGGTTGACAAAACACCCGAGGTGCACTTGGAAATTCTGAGGTCAAGTCCGGGGGCCCGGCCATGGCCTCAAAGATCTTGGCGGCCGTTGCACGGCAGGGAAGAAAGGTGACACAGCTTGGGGGCGCCCAGCTTTCTGCCACCAGGGCATATGCTGCAGAGGCTCTCACGGTCCAAGATGAGCGGTTTGTGAAGTACAATTCCCCCGTAGCAGTCAACCATGATCTGACTAGCATACTCGGCAGGCCTGAGACCAAGATCACAACCCTGGCAAATGGTCTCCGAGTAGCTACAGAAACAACTCCTCACGCTGAGACTGCAACAGTAGGGGTCTGGATTGATGCAGGCAGCAGGTTTGAGTCGGCAGCCAACAATGGCACCGCGCACTTTCTGGAGCACATGGCTTTCAAGGGGACAAAGAAGAGGAGCACTAGGGCGCTGGAGGAAGAGGTTGAGAACATGGGGGGCCATCTGAATGCGTACACGTCCCGGGAACAGACGACCTACTATGCGAAAGTTGTGAAGAATGACGTGCCAAAAGCAATGAACATCCTTGGGGACATTTTGCAAAACTCGTCGATCAAGCAGGAGGACGTCGACAGGGAACGGAGCGTGATCCTCCAGGAGATGAGGGAGGTGAGTGAGGAAGAATAGCACTCCTTAAGGGATCTGTTTTCTGTGCAGCTTTTGGATCGAGCAACATGCTGTGAAAAGGAAGAATTTGATATGATGCAGATTGGTGGTTTCTACCTCAAAAATTGGCTTCTAAATGTTGCCGTGCATTACTTTTGCGGTCATTCTCGATAAGCAGCCGTGGATCTCCAGCGGAGTGGGTCAGGTTTCTAATTCCCTGCGAGGTTATCTTGTTCACCATAGCTTAAATTCTGAAGAACAGATTCCTGGCCTGTTTTGCAAAACGTGCGTTTTGCAAGCCATGCATCTAAAAAATTACATGCCATGCGAAAACCTTGCATGCTGTGAATTGGCCACCTTCTCAGACACTTACCTTAATTATCAGTCGCATTCTTGCTGCATTGATTGGGTGCATGCTTTTTGTACGCTTCCGTATTCACGGAGCCGGCTTCAACTTCTGAATCCTCTCTGCGAAACACTGTCATTGTACCAGGTATTAGGGAAAGGGCACTTGGTAATGGTCAGATTGAATCTTGCATCTTGCGCGCCGTATATCAGATTGAATTTAACATCTTGCGCTGGATAAGCAGTCACATTAACTGATTGTCTGATGCCTGCATTGTGTTTGTACCTAGTAATTATGGTAGTTTGATTTGCAAGCCTTTTTGTCGAAGATTTCACTAGAATTTGTATCTTTGCATAGAACCCGTCAGAAAAGCATCCAATTTGAGCAAGATCTCTTTCCAGTACTGGCCCCTCTTGATATTCCATGCTTCTTCAAAACAATGCCAGAAAGTGGCACTGTTGTCCAGGACAATTCTGATGAAATGTTGGTGCTGCGCTTATCCGTAGAGCAGATACTTTGTACCTGTAGCATGCTGATCACGTGCACAGCCTGCCAGGGGGGAGAGTCGCCCAGGTGCTGCTTCTTGCAAGCCAGTTTAACTAGAGCTACTCCTTCACACATGATCGGCGGCTGAATTTTAATCGTACGTGCAGATCGAGGGCCTGTCCGATGAGGTCCTGTTTGATCACCTGCACGCGACAGCGTTCCAGCACAGCCCCCTTGGTCAGACTATCCTCGGGCCAATGGAGAACATCCAGTCCATCACCAAGGAGGATATTGAGGACTACATCTCCACGCACTACACCGCTCCTCGGATGGTAAGATTCGATCCCTGCTTCCCCATTGTAACGCTGCTGATGAGTCCTTTGTCATCTACATCTACTTCCTCTGGGCCAAACCGTTTGCAGGCTTTGCTTGTTTTAGCAGCAGGTTTCTTGAAGACTGCGTCCGGAGTCTTTAAAACCAATTGCAGTGACCCCTTCAGTTTGCAGGCTGCATGGGCTCACCTCTCGTGGGATTTGGATCTTGACAGCTGTTGGAGTTGCATACAGCAGAGTAGCTCGATTTGGAAGCTGGGTCAGCACAGAGCATCGTGAGAGCATCGTGCTTACGTGCAGGTGCTTGCTGGCGCGGGGGCTGTTGACCATGACGAGCTTGTCAAGCTCGCTGAGAAGGAGTTCTCCAGCCTGTCCAGTGACCCTACTACCGCAGCGCAGCTCGTGGCCAAGAACCCGGCCATCTTCACTGGGTCTGAGGTACTTTCCGGGTCCCTTTAATTGTCCAGAGGCTCACTTGGAGTAGCTTCACATAAGCGTTTGATGATGGGGACCAGGTGGACGGTTGTGTGCTGACTCGAACCGCTTCCTTTGCCTATAAAGCCTTGCATGATCAGATGGACTTTTGCCGCTCGATTGAGCGGACGCTGACGGATCGACTTCTTCCGTTTGTGCATCTTTGCCAGAGAAATGTCGCCGTGTCTAAGTTGGTGAAAGCGTTTTTGTGCAGGTCCGCCTGCGCGACGACGACATGGAGAAGGTCAGCTTTGCGGTCGCGGTGCAGGGCGCCTCCTGGACGGATCCCGACACCATGGCTCTTCAGGTCATGCAGACCATGCTTGGGTCCTGGTCCAAGGCAGCCGGAGCTGGGAAGCACATGGGGTGAGGCACAAGCCAGTTCACAGTGCATGCTGATGTAAAAACCGTCTGCTTGTCCTTGTTCAGGAATCCGAGCGCTTGCTTTAGTTTAACGATTGATATAGAAAAGCCAGATTGCGGAGGCACGTTATAGATCTTGCAAAGTGACCCATCTTTTCTGGCTATCTTCCTTGTAATAGCGTCCTTTAACGCATATATTTCAGGAATCGAGTCTGATCGTTGGCGGCGAAAGCGGTCCTGCTCACGACTGGATTCCTTCTTCCTGTCTTAGGTCGGAGCTTGCGCAGCGGGTAGCAGCAGACAATTTGGCAGACAGCTACATGGCATTCAACACAAACTACCGTGACGCAGGCCTGTTCGGGATATACGCTACCTGTGATGTGAGTACCATATGTACCAAGCTGTGTACCTCGCAATCTGTTGTGTAAGGAAGCCTTGAGCGTGGCCCATTCCGTGCATTGTCTATTTGTCCGATATCGAGAGCCGCAGCTCTAAGGTGTATGCGGAAGGTATCGCGAGAACCAGAGAGTAATCTGAAGGTTTTCACAGGCGTCAAGAATACGGTGCATTCCGAAATGCATCGTTGGGACCAGTTCGCTTTCTACCTTGCTTCTTGACGTGACAATGAGGTGTCCAAGCGTTCTGTGCTAGGAACCTGAGACGTCTTTTCGATTCGTTTGCAGGGGAAGGTCGCTGACGACCTCTGCTGGGCAGTCATGCACGAGTTCACCAAGCTAGTGTACCGAGTGTCCGAGATGGATGTCACCCGCGCAAAGAATCAGGTCAGTTCACAGGCAACTTGTAAAGAACGTCGTCTGCTCGTCTTGGAGTGAGAACCGAGGACTCTAGAGGACTTTCTCGGAAGCTTTTCTGCAACAGTCGCCTCCAAGGCCCAGATTTTTGACACTGTCCTCGAGTGGTTTTGCAGAATTCGCTTATGTTCGCCGAAATCTTGTTACTTGCTGAAAGCCGGTACGTTTCTTGTATCCTCAGTTGAAGGCCAATTACCTGATGCTACAAGATGGCACTGGACCGAAGGCGGAGGACATTGGGAGGCAGGTTAGTGCAGCACACTGACCTTCTGTTCGTGGCAAGCCCAGCCCCTTCTGTATAAGTTGCAGCCTTTCGTTCAGATCGTCACTCGCCCTCAACGAAGAGTTGCTCCAGTGGTCCGTTTTAGAAATGGGGCAAGAACTCTTGTCTTTTGGCATTGCACATGTTGACGTATGGGTTAGGTCTGCCCGTGTGGCAAGTGTGAGAACGGCTTTCAAGCCGACGTCTCCTTTGGACGATGCCCGTCAAGCCACTTGTTTGCCGGCAGTTTGAAGACGGCGTTGGGTTTGACTCATCTCAAGGGGATCAGAAATCGAAGAGTTTTGCATTGCAGCAGGCCTCAACGGAGAGCAGCTGCTTGGCTCTATCTTGTCGGACTTTGACAGTGGGCCGAGCTAGCCGAATCTTGGATTACTAGATAAAGTCGCGTCGTTGTCATCTGGTTGGAATTTAACCTGGTACGGGGCGGTACTTGCACCCCGTTGAGGTGCTCAGGGAAACCCACTCAAAAATATGCCCCTTGCAGCTCCTGGTATACGGCCGCCGCATTCCCCCGGCGGAGCTCATCGCGCGCATTGACGCAGTGGATGCGAACACCATCAAGCGTGTGGCCGACAGGTTCATCTATGACAAGGTGAGCGTGCTTGTGTGAAATCTAGCAAGTGCTGGTCATTGAGCTTGTGCCGTCGTTAGGATTTGTCTTTCGTTTGGAGTCTGTTCGTCTTTCAATGTCGCTTGAGCCTCGGAAGTCAATTCACGGTTGCATTCGTATCTTTCTCTGTTTCTTCGTGACAGCTTTGCGATCTCCCCAGAAGTTCGTTCTTTACAGTATTGCCGCTATTAAGAAGACACTATAGAGCGTGAATGGTTTTTTGGTGTAAGCCTGTTACTAATGCAAGCGGAGGAAAACCCCTTTTCAGCCCACGCCTCACTATGCTTGCTCCACTTTGTTGCAGGACCTCGCAATCGCTTCCATGGGACCCACTCAGAACCTTGCCGACTATGTCTGGTTCAGGAGAAGGACATATTGGCTCAGGTATTAGTACGTCTCCAGGCCACCAAAGGCAGATTCGTCGACCGTACACAGATGACCCATTGAACGTGGAGCTGGCTTCTCAGCTTCAGCTACAATCAGAGCCGCTCTTTCGCAAGCTACAGTTGTGGTCGTCTCACCATGTATATGCTCCCCTTTTGAGGACCCAGTCTTCAGTCCTGTGATCACGAGTAAGCTTCTCATGAAAGACACGAGAGCCGACTTGTGTGCGGATCTCAACGGAGCGGGCACTTGGTTGAGCTTCAATCTTCCGACCTTCAACATCTCAGCGTTTTGTTCAGTTTGAGTGTACATTGTTGTTGTCAAGTTGACATGAAAGACAATCTAAGAAGCTATCACTGCTACATCTCACATATATCCAAGCGGTGTACTGGTATTCTGTCCGTGATGGTGCCGGGACATCAGGTCTATCTCACCATCTTTGTGCCCTATGCAAAGCCTCCAAGTTGCACGATGTGGGCTGTGTGGCCACTATTGGTACACGCCATGATTCGGCGCTGGAGCTTGAATTGCATGCATATCATGCGCCATGTGCACCATACTTTGCACTTGCACGAATTCGAAGCGCGAATACGTGAGGTAATGTCAGAAGAAATCCTGTGCAAGCCTGAGGTTCCTGCATCTCTCTCACTGTCAGCTACGTTCAGAGATTGTGCACTGGACTACCTAGCAAGGCTACGTTACGTCGTCAGCTGCCAGACAGGCCATCAGGATGGTCCCTCAAGTCGACAGAATTTTTGCCGCACGTCGTATAATATTCCCTGGTCTTCCATCGACCGTCGTCGTTCTCCGGTGGTAGACCCTACAAGAGCACGAACTTCAAAATTGATCCGGACGCGGTCCCCGCGGTCGCGCGAACTTTCACTCTATGAAATATTGTCGCACCGTAGACTGCCGACCTGCTGCCCGCACTTAGCGAAATTCCATCGGGAGCTCGCAAATTCCAGTCTGCATTTCAGACCTGTAAGGAGTACCCCAGTCCCCGGGCAAGCCAGGCAGACCATAGCATGACTGTTTTTAGCGACATGATCACGCCCGGCAGTTCAAGTGTCCGCCGGGGACCTACCAAGGCTAAACCGTAGTATACGAGTGCCCGGTTGACTGCCGTGCCTGCGCAGTCAACCGGGCAGACTCATGTCGCCAAAAACAGTCATGCTATGGTCTGCCTGGTTTGCCCGGGGACTGGGGTACTCCTTACAGGTCTGAAATGCAGACTGGAATTTGCGAGCTCCCGATGGAATTTCGCTAAGTGCGGGCAGCAGGTCGGCAGTCTACGGTGCGACAATATTTCATAGAGTGAAAG